CTAAACCGAGGCTCGGTGACCCGAACTCGCATTCATAGGCTCGGCTAGCTAATAATAAAAAAATCCATCATGACGACATAAGAAAAGCCCCTAGAGGAGTCAAATCCACTCCTCCAGTGGCCTCTCGGGGCTACACGGCTGGAAAGGCTTCCACAGCACCCATCGAGGCCTTGAGTACAAAACACAATCCCAAACAGAGCTGTTATGAGCCAAGTCTCGACAAAACCTCGTGGAGAGTGCCCTCACTCCTCCCGAGGCTCGGGGGCTACTGTCGGATACCACAAGAAGGGGTACCCTAAGCAAGAACCAAAAATATTGCTTAAACCTTGCAAAAACCAAAGCCAAAGACTACCGCAAGGTCTCAAAGAGATTCTCCGATTCGCCTGAGAGGCCTTGTGCAGAAGCCCTCATGCGAAGGCCAAAGCTCCCCACCCCGCCGAGGCCCTCTCGCCGAGGCCCTCTTGCCGAGGCCCCCGCCCAAAGGCCCCGGACGGGATGCTAATTCTCCGATTCGCCGAGGTGGGCTCGGCAAACAACCTCGTTACCTCCGTCCCGACCGAACTCCTCCGACAAAACATCATGTCCGGATTAATCGCGCCTAACTACTCCCATCAAGAACGTCGGCCCAGACGCTGGCATAAAGGCAGGCAGAGCGACCGACGGACAGGGACCGGGCGCACCAGGGGTTACCCGCCATCGTGCTCATCATCGTGCTCCCTACTAACACCGTCTCGCCTTATGCTACCTAACCCCGCGCCAAGGACAAGCGGCGTGGAAGGTCAAGTCTAGGTCCTCAGAGTCTCAAAGAATGCCAGGAGAGCCCAGTTGCTCGTTCTCCGCCTCGTCGAGACCCCTGGCGGGGCCTCGGACGACGTCTTGTTCCTTCTCCACCTCGGCCGAGGCCGGGCTCGTCCCGCATCCTCGTCGCCTCCGCCTCAACTATCCCTCGGCAGCAGCTGTCCCATCCATTTAATGCGCTGAATGCACTGCTTCACGCCGACCACGACCGTGGTACAAAGAACAGGAGCGATGGGACCACGGTCAAATCTCCTTTTTACCATGCCCTGCACTTTTCCACCTAAACCAGGTCACTATAGCCTCAGAATCAGTGCATAGGCCCAATTGCTCCCTCCAGGGCCTCGGCAAATTAGACCTCGGTGCGGTCAGCTACAAACAGCCGCTAGGGCCTCGACAAATCAGGCCTGGCGCGGTTAGCTACAACCCGCCAGCCCTCGGCACTCCACCGGTCAAGAGTCCACCAAAGCACTAAGATGTCTCCGCCGTGGAAGTCATCTTGACTAGACGTCGATAAGGACTCCACGACCTCAACCATTTCGAACCTAGCCAAGACGGCGCGCGCCGAATAAATCATCGATCTCCATTCCCAACGCCATGTCTCACAGACTAAACCTGTAGTAGGCTCCACGTAGCTCACTCCATACTCACGGCTCCTTCCTTGCGGTTATAAAAGGAAGCGGCCAGGGATAGCTCAAAAAAGAAGAGACGATAGAACCGCGCTCCCATATTCGCCCTAGACACATCCTGTTACATTCCACGCTCGAGCCGCTTGAGAAGCGTCTCAAGCACTCGCAGACCACCGCCCCACGCCGAGACACGGGACTAGCTCCTCTCTCACCCAAATTTTGTAACCCCTACTACAAGCACTTCGGTGCAAGGAATACAAGACCGATCTCTCAGACTGGACGTAGGGCACCAATTGCCTGAACCAGTATAAATCTTGTGTCTCTTTGCATCACCATCCGGGATTAGGGGCACACAGTTCATATTTACTGGTTGGTTGAGGACCCCCCCCGGTCCGAAACACCGACAAGACTATAGATATGCTCGTTACCCTGGGGTGATTCAGTGATTGTCATAATCTGTGCTTGTTTCCCTTGGACGGACTGCAATGGCAAGATTATAGAGAAGTACCTATGGAATGACATAGTTCCAAGAGCTAGTGCACACGACTACAAAGAAAGCCTCGCCTACCATTCGTTTCTCGCCTGCCAACAGCTTGTTCGTTTCGTTGTAAACGATCGTGGATTATTTACTGCTGGCTGGTTTGGTGTGAGAGAAAAATATTATTCCAGCTTATAATCCACGATCATATACGAGCAAACGAACATGCTACAAGTTTTCTCAAAGGGATTTAGAAAATTGTTAGGTTCCCTATTGATCAGAAATGGTTAACTTCTTCTGCTTCGTCTCAAGTCTGTGTTTGTAATAATTGTGAACTGATGTCTCTTGTTTAAAGAGGTTTGAAGCCCCAACTTATCCATTATCTGAAAAAAAAGGTCTTTGTGTTTGTAATACCTGTGACCTTATTTCGTTACTGTTCTTCTCATTCCCCATTAGGGCCTGTTCGTTTCACCAGGAATGGCCATCTGAAACAATTTTCAACCGGATTGATTGTCTAATTTGTATAACTTTAATCATCTGGAATAATTCCTGGGCTCAATCCACCCTAACCGAACAAGCCCTTATGCATTTTACTCCCCACTGTCCACTTTGCACACCTCCGCTATGTATGCCTCTGCGTTTCTCAATGTTGGGCTACTGTTTAAGTAATTTATTGTCGCCGTGAAGTTTTCATATTTCTTGGTACCAATAGGTGTAAAGTTGAGTGCACCTGTGCTTTAGGAAACTGAATTGCACATAGCAGTGTTGATACGTCTGCATTCCCACTACTGTTTTTGACTTTCAACAAACTGAGTGGCTCTGGCTTACCGATATTGAGTTCTTGTTCTGTCTATGTTCCATCATAGTTCTTTATGCTTCTCCATAAATCATTAGAGAAATTTGTTGTACATCAGTACATACCAAAAAAAAAAACTCTGTATTTTTGCCAGTTTTTGGTGCCCATGAACTATTGAGTTTCAATCTAGATGGTTCCACCTCTAACGTATAATAGAGTGGGTTTTTCTTGTCTCTGCTGAACATAAAACTGCAAAGATTTAGACAGAAAACTGCGACTGAACATTTTAGCGGATGATTTGCACGGCACCATTGAGTGAATAACCCATATATTTGTGACAGAAGTTTTTTTTTTTTGCGAGTTTAGACTTTCATTACTCATGAAACATCAGGGGTACAATCAGCGGTAACCAGGTCAGCAACACAAGATGGAGCACATTGCCACTCTACCATCCTGTTGACATAAGTAGAACTAACAAAAGAACTCTACAATACCCTGAATCCTACGGCGTGATACCTGTCCATCTCCAACTCTTTTGTACTCCCTCCATCCTAAATTGTAAGACGTTTAACTTTTTTGTCTCCAAGTTTGACCACTCGTCTTATTCAAAAAATTTGTGCAAATATAGTCAAATTTAAGTCATTCTTGAAGAATTTATATTAATAAACCAACCCACGACGAAAGAAGTGATATTTTACACAAATTTTTGAATAAGACGAGTGGTCAAACTTGGTGTCAAAAAAGTCAAACGTCTTACAATTTGGGATGGATTGAGTACTGTCTTTATTCAGTTCTCAAATCAAAAATTGCATTAAGTGGAAGGATTTAAAACAGACTTGGACAAGTCACTTTTCATTCAAGTGTTCCCATCTCCTTTCTATATTTCTTTATAATCTCAATATATTTCTTGTTATTTTGTCATCACTTTCTAGATTTCTTCACTTTCATTCAAGTGTTTCCATCTCCTTTCTATATTTCTTTATAATCTCAATATATTTCTTGTTATTTCGTCGTCTCTTTCTAGATTTCTTTATAATCTCAGTATATTTCTTGTTATTCAGTCATCTGCACTAATTATTCCATTATTGGAGCATATAATTCTTGTGTTTTTAATGGTTTCATCCATTTGCACCTAATTTTGTACAACATCTAATACAATTTAATAGTCCTTTCATTGATATAAAGACCACGACGACGACAACAACAACATAGCCTTTCAGTCATAAGCAAGTTAGGGTAGGCTAGAGTTGAAACCCACAAAGAGTCCCAAGTCACGGTTCAGACACTTCAATAACTGTTTTCCAAGTGCTTCTATTCAAATATAGATCTCTAGGTATATCCCAAGCGTTCAAATATCTTTTTATGGTCTCCCTCATGTCAATTTCGGTCTTTCTCTACCTCTCCTCATATTATTAGCTTAGCTTAAGACTCCACAATGCACTGATGCATATGGAGGTCTCCTTTGGACATGACCAAATCACCCCAACCGATGTTGGACAAGCTTTTCTTCAATTGGTGCTACCTCTAGGCAATCACGTATATCATTGTTCTGAACTCGGTGCATTCTTGTGTGACCGTAAATCCATCGCAACATATGCATTTATGCAACACTCAGTTGTTGAACATGTCGAATTTTTGTAGGCCAACATTCTGCTCCATACAATATAGCCGGTCTAATCGCCGTTCTATAGAACTTGCCTTTTAGTTTTTGTGGTACCTTCTTGTCACAGAGAATGCCAGAAGCTTGTCGTCACTTGATCCACCATGCTTTAATTCTATGGCTAACGTTCGCATCAATATCTCCATTCCTCTGTATCATCGATCTCAGATACCGAAAGGTATCCTTCTTAGACACTACTTGACTATTCAAACTCACATTTCCCTCCTCCTGTACAACCATGCCAAAGTCACATATCATGTATTCAGTTTTAGTTCTGCTCAATCTAAAACCTTTAAACTCAAGGGTTTAAACTCAAGGGTCCGCCGCAACTCTAGTTTTCATTGATATAAAGACTTAGAAAAAAAAATATTTCAGTTGACAAGCGAGACAGGAAGGAATACAAGATACACTGACAGATAACAGGGTAGGGATTGCGCCATAGATAACAATATATCTCTACTTTCAATTCCGAATCGCAAATAGCACACATGTCAAAATTTCGCTAAAAAGAACTAGAATTCATTGGTGGACAAACATTCCTCCAACCAAGCACTAGATGCTAAATAACAAAGCCTTGAACAATAACACATAGCAGTAGGGCCAGATAACTTTGGTGCAGACAAGGGCATGCCCTGGGATCCTTCACTTGAGAGGGATGAACCTGGAGGAGTGGGTAGCACCAATACCAGGCCTTCCGTGCTTGACGGGCTTGTAACTGATGGAGAATTCAGCAAGGTAGTGCCCAATCATCTCAGGCTTGATCTCAACCTGGTTGAATGTTTTCCCGTTGTACACTCCAATTACGCTGCCTATCATCTCTGGCACAATGATCATGTTGCGCAGATGAGTCCTGACAGGCTCGGGCTTCTCACCGGCAGGTGCTTCCTTTTTCTGTGCATGTAAAAAGTAGAAAATGGCTTAATAGCTTAGCTTTTATGATCTCAAAGCAATAGCTTATCTTAGCTTCATGACAACAATTTAGAAATAGTGAAACAGCTACAAACAATAGCATTAGCAGTAGAAATTGAGAAAACAACATATCATCAGGATCAAATGAAATCGGAATATAAAGGGGCGTACCCAGTGCAGAGAGCTCCCGCTCTGTGCGGGGTCTAGGGAAGGGTGTCAGTGGCAAGCCTTACCCTCGCATGTGCAATGCGAGGAGACCGCGACTCGAACCCGGGACCTTCCGGTCACAGGCGGTAAGACTCTACCGCTTGCACCAGGCCCACCCTTCAAATGAAATCGGAATATGCAGAAAAAAAATGCACAGATAGGTCATAAACCATTCTTAAGTCTACCGACTCTACTCATTGCTATGGGTAAAATAAGAGCAAATATACTGTCATAACATTCCATACAACAGGAATAAGAAGTCAAATGACTAGACAAGACTATTCCAAACTACTATATAGCTTAAGCTCCATTTGACTACTCTGTAACATTTCAAGTGCTCATAAGAAACTCGTCATCTGAGCCTTGACAGCAGACTAGCAGAGCATATATCTTCTAGGACCAAACTAATATTTATGCTATATCAACCACCATGTGCCATGCATTTGAATTTCATAGCTGATAAATTGGCATGTACTTATAGCAACTGCATAAAACGAAAATCAACCTTCAGCTCAACAAATAATGACTCCATTTCAAACAGTAAGTTTAACATACACGTTCAGATCATGCAGTTGCTATCAAGCATGGCACTGCACTTATAATAAAACATTATGTTTCCTACTAATAATCTAACACTGTTTGCTGCAAAATTATTGATGCACCTCAAGTCAACCATCTCTACTGTAAGTCTGAACCAGATTTTGCAAAAGTGTAAAATATGGAGTAGAACCATTTCAATTCTGCTGACCATCGATTCTCTACACCCACAGAATCTAAAAAGTAAGATGACTCCACATGTCCATATTATCCTTAGCTGCTATACGCACTCAACATCTAGACTACAAAAATCGCACATTCTAGCATCCCAGCAATAGAATACAGAACGCAATGGGCATGATAACCAAGCAATCTACGAAACAAAATCGCAGAGAGGAAGGGAATGCATTACCGCCGTGCGCAGCCTCTTGATGAGAGCCATCGGCTTCCTCTTCAGACCCCTCTGGAACCTAAATCCAAGCACATACCCAAAAAAATGAAAAATGCATAAAACGCAATCAAAACAACGGGATACATTCCATCCTCCAGCACGGAATCTCGTCGCCGACAACACCATTTTCTGGTGCAAGCTAGCGCCTACCTTCTGCGGGCGCGGGCGGGGAAGAGCTGGACGAGGTCGTCGGTGGACATGTCGAGGAGCGCGTCGAGGTCCACGCCGCGATAGCTGTACTTGCGGAACGTCCTTTTCTTGGGCTGCCCCGCGGCGGCGACCTCCGCCTCGACGTCGACGTCCGCCTGCGAGGCACCATCACGCGCGAAGAGGAGTTAGTCAGCTGAGCCACAGTGAAATGCGTGCGCGTTGGGGATTCGAGGGAGGGTCGAGGGTGCGAGCTGGCGGCCACTCACCATGGCTGCGGTTGGTTGGAGTAGAGGAGAGGCAGGGGAGCCGAGGCGCGGCGGGGCAGCGGCGGCGGCGGCGGGCTAGGGTTTGCTGGAAGAGGCCAAGGGCCGAAGGAGTGTGTGGCCGCGGGTATATCAGGTGTTCTAATCCGCTTGGGGATGGGCCGTTGGAAGTTGCGAAGCCCTTCGACATCGGACCACCTGCGCAAAGGAGCCCGCCGAGCACTGAAAAGAGGAATGACCGGAAGAGAATTTTTTATTTTGTCATTGTTTGATTATATAGAAAAAAATTATAAATTCCACTCAAAAAAGAAAAAGGAAAAAAATATAAATTATCTTTTTAATTGTACCATAGTTGATTGTCAAAGATTGTTGCCTGAAAATTCAGGCATTGCTAAAAATTGCAATGGTCCACGACACGTGGGAATTCATTTTTCGCACCCCTTAGTGTTGGACAAATTATGTCGCCCAACCAATGGGCGAACAAACCTTTGAACAATAATAATTTTTCATACAAGCTTGGATAAAAGTAATAATGTATGTGAAGATACTTCATTAAGAGCTTTAATATCGTATAGAGCTACAATTTTTATATGAGAATTATTTTTGTGGATGCAACTGTTTACGTCCGACATGCACACAACTATTTATTATTCCCTCTATTCCAAATTATAAGTCACTTTGACTTTTTTGCTACATCCATTTTGCTATGCATCTAGACTTATAATTTAGAACGGAGGGAATATCATGCAACTATTTGTCTTATTACAAATATTGGAATTCAAGAAAATTACTGATTATCAAGTTTTTGTTTTAGAAACTTAAAACTTTGACACAGAGGCAGGTCCTGGCGCAAGACCGTTGGTTGAATGACAGGAGGACACGTTGGCAAGATATCAGAGATGGAAGGAGCCTGGTACTGGTAGGGGCAGAGAGCTCTGGGAAGAAACAATGCAAAGAGAAGAGGAGAACACGAGGCTAAGCTTGTTTGGGTGATGTATAATTTTACCACACGTAACTTTAGGCAAGTTGTAGCTGACACAAAGCATGACGAAAAAAAAATTGAAGCCATACTTACGACAGAGTTTGACAAGAAAATAAGTTCATATGGCTCATTCGTTTCGCTGAAAAAACAAGCCGAAACACTGTTTCGGCTGAAAAAACAAGCTGAAAAGTATGGATTATAAGAGGGATTGTGTGAGACAAAGTTTGACAAGAAAATAAGTTCACATTATGTAGGACAAGATGCTAAGAAAAAATGTTAAAGTGGTACACACTTAGCAGCTAGTAAGGTGGAAAGACCGAAAGAGGTCATATTTCTCGTTCCAGAAACAATTACGATCACATAGTATAAAAAAAATTCTCAAAGTATTGTACCATGTCATGTTCCTCGTTGGAACACCATAGTTGCTGCAATAAAACAAATGGCCGCCTAAGAAACTATGGTATGACTAATGACAATTTTAGGCACGTACCAAATAATCCAGAAGTCCAGAGTTCAGACCGTCGTCATCTGACTGATCATATGCATCAACTGATATGTAACACCACCCTTAGTTCTTTTACGACAAGGCCACAATCATATCATTCAACCAGATTGCTAGCACGGATACTTCGCGCTAGCAAACTTTTCTGTACCTGTACAAGCATTAAATTTGCGGTGCAAACACATAGGAACCATTTTGGATCGCATATTCATAGGAATCCTAATGCGAAATTAGAATGTTTGAAAAGAAACAAAAAATGATATAGGCTACCCTCCGCAATCAAAGCATTACATGAAATTCATCATTTCCCCACTTTTTGGGATGATACACATACACCAGTAAGACAGCAGCTACGGCTATGCAGGATTGAAGCGTGCCTCGTTCCTTTCGATGGCAGCCTTGAGCTTCCGCTGCGCCGACACCCTCGAGGCCGACATGACCAGGTCCTGCCATGCTGACGACGAGCCTCCTGTTGGTTGGCCGTCGGCGTATAGCTCATGGACGCAGTTGGCCTCCTCATTCAAGCTTCTTAGTCTGTCCAAGCAGCCTATTTCTTCAGGATCCACCAATAAGCTGCTCTCACCATCCTTCCATCCTATTAACTGCAACACGGGATCGGCTCTCAACCAACGTGATAATAATAATAGTGGAAGTTGGCGGGCATGCTTGGAAGTTGGGACACAAGAACATGCTCCAGGAATTTAACTATTCCATGCAAAATGCCTGTAAAAATTATTCTGAAATTCATGTGTCCTGAAATGGTTCGGCATGTTAATTCACCAGGTTAGCTGGCTCACCTTAGGAACACCCAAGGTGTTGGTGCTGTAGAGCCTTGTGTTGTCGACAAGGCTGCAGTAACTGTTGAAAGCCGTAGCAAATCGCTTGTGTGACTGCAGCTGCGATTTCACCCTCACTGCTCTCCCAGTGACTACAGCTCTCCTGCAAATTGTAAACTTTTAGTAGTGCACGTTGCATGTATTAAGCACCATTTCCCAACATATGACCGTTTCAATGTGAGAAAATCAGAGCTCAATGCATGACAATGTCTGAATGGGTAGAATGCTAGTGGCAGTGGCTGATTTTGGCATGGATTAAGCTATGAGCTGCACCTGATTCCCCTGACAACAGCTAGATATGCATCACAGACCACACCAACGAGCTCGATCCGGTAAGGCTTCCTTGCTGGTACTTCGTTCTCCTCATCAGTATTAGAGTCCTCAACCGGCTCCCAGTACTCCTCGGTTATTGTCCCATCATCTGTGACCTTGTAGCCACATCCCATGCGGTACCGCTGCCTGTGCACGGCCCTGGCCATGGCTATCGTTTGCTGTACGAATGGCTCCCAGGACAGAGTGCCATCCATGATCACATCCCGGCCTTCGTTGAGTGCAGTGACGAGGAGCGAGGAGGCTGCGTCCAAGGATGACTGGTGCACCTGCATCGTGATTGTAGGTAATTGAGTTATTGAGGTCTAATTTTAAAGGCTGTAAACATCTGCAATATGTAGATGTGCAAGATCATGATGTATAAATATATATTAATGTGGAAACTGGTCGTGTTTTGGACCCGTTACTTGTTTCCGATTTCCATTATGCCTGGGGTTTCTTTGAAAGTCTAAGCCACAATATTGAATGTTGCAATATTATGCATTTTGACTAGTTGCTAGTGGGCAATATTGCATTACTGGTGACATTATTGTCTTTCTGATAGCAAATATGGTAAAAAAAATATTACCAGCTCTGCAGTCTGCAGCATGTCATTGTGGTGGCCTCTAGAGCTAATGGCTCGGTAGATTACATCAGTTTCCTTGAATGCATCTGCCTCCACAATCACTGAATTCGCTGCTGCTCCAGACCAAAATGCTCTGTGAATCAAGAAATGCATACCAAGATGATCAACATGTACCTATATCCACATACTGATAGTATTGTATAAGGTGTGCTCTGTCTTCAGGATTGTTTTTTCATTCTCAATTCATTCTAACAACATTCATTTTTCCTACATTCCAATGTGACGAAATGTGAAGATTCGAAAACCAAATCAACATATTTTCCATTTTCCATGAAACTAGAAATGTAAGACGATCAACACAATTTAAATAGTAGAAATAATCGACTTACTCCTTAAGGATATCTTTAAGTACAGTGCTCTTGCCAGCTCCCATCCCACCACCCATCAGGAGTAAAACCGGGCTGCGATTGCAGTGTGCTACTGGCACCATCACATCATTCCGTGGAGAATCATCATGGCTAGATAGTCCTATGGCCTTCAGTTCTTCCACCAATGTGGAGAAAAACCTTGTAACCTTCAAGTTTCTTGTCACTCTCTCGAATCTCTGTTCCCTATTTTCAGTGGAGAATCGGGCACAGTCAATTTTTGTGTGGAGGAACAGCAGTCGTTTGCTTGTGTCGTTCAAACAGAAATGTGCTAGATTAGATTATTATACACGCCTTTTGTAATAGGAACCATCGACGAACTAAATTATATGTTTGTGAATTCCACTACCACAGAACCTAAACACTACAGCAAATGAACACAATGAGCACACATTTCCTGTAGCCTTATTTCTTTAACTAAACTCTTACATTTTTTGGTGGGAGATCTAATGCCTGAACTCAATTTCAGTCTTATATAAATTAGCATGCTTCAGTTTGAGGAGAAAAAAAAAACATTCTCATTAAAATCACTGTGCCACTTCAACTGTCAATGTATTGCTTTTATGTTTAGTAACAGGAATCACATAATTAACCAGCAACTTATCTGAGTCATAATATAACATTTTTCGAATGCCCCTAATCAGAAGAATACATTGAACACGGAAGATTAAATGTATGGCTCTAGGAGTTCCTGCTGAAGTGTCCATTTTGCAATCTGAAGATGTCTAGCGCCATGTTTGCGTAGTATTTTACTATTTGGTCAGATGAGAGATGATATAAAAGTCAGCGGAATAGATAGTTAAGATCCAAGCAACCAGTACATCAAGGAACATGATCCAGCATTAACAATAAACAGAGATTCTCAAAACATATGGTAAACAATATATTTTCATTAATGACACTGCAATCAAGAGATCACATGGTTTAACTAGTATGTAAGGTTGTAGTACAAACCACTTATAAAAGTAATCAAGGGGCATATTTGGAAATTTAAAGTGAACAGAGTGAATGAGGGATAATGAACATGTCAAACCGAGTAAATAATTAAGATGCAAGCAACTAGTACATCAAGGAATGTGATCCAAATTTAACAACAAACGAGAGATTCTCAAGACATAAAGTAATCAATATATTTTTCATTAATGATACTCCAGCCAAGAGAACACATGGTTTAAGTTTAACTAATACCTAAGATTGAAGTAGAAAGCGCTTATACTAAAAGTAATGAAGGGCAATTTGGAAATTTAAAGTGAATAGAGGGAATGAGCATAAGTAGCACAACATCAGCCACTTGGGAGCCAGATACTTTGCATAAGGATGGGTAATCACCTGGTGGCCTCTAACACAAAATTCTTGAACTTTCTTTTAGTCGCACCTTCTACCGTGAGAACCTGTCGATATCACTACTATATCAAGATACAAATATTGTGTAAGGAGAATTTAACTAGGACTAGCAGGAAACAGAAGGTAAATTTCAAAACTCATTGAACGCCTTTACCTGGGTAATTATGTAAGTGGCATATTTCCAATGGAAGGAGAAGTAGCCAACTATACATTTGTCAAGCTCCTCGATAAACTTCACAATCAGGGGCTCAGGATCCATGTTATTCTGGAAGAACGCAAAAATGTTCTCTTCGTAGCCCTTGTTCTTCCTGAGATAATCGTAGGCTAGCGTGCACAGGTGGGGGCATTCCTTCACATCCTCAAAGCCAATTTGCCTAGCTGAAAACGAAAGGAGAATCAGAATTTTCTCATCGATGCAGACATGACATGAACGGGGGGAAGCAAACAGTGCAGGTCCCAAGACCACAAAATCGGCATATAGCATAGCATAAGGTGCGGAAACTCCAACCACAGCCAGTCAATCGCAAAGAATATGTCGCATGTGGAATCTAGATCTTGAGCGTGACGTGCAAGCGACAGAACCATGTACGCAAATCTCTCCACGGAAGCTAATAGTTTACGATAGTCAAGATGCTTCTGCGTTGGTATTCAGAGCCGTATCCATGTACCTGGGGTTGGGCCAAGTAAACAAATCAAACAGACGTGCGAACCCCAAGGAGTTACCCCAGCTACTTCCACCACTGTTCACTAGTAGCAACGACACGACTATATACGAGAGTAGACCATGGATGGAATTCACATCCGAACAGCGCGCATCGGCGCATGAACCAAAACTGAAACGCGGGCGGTATCAAGGACGGAACTCAAATCAAAATTTTACCACTTGAAATTCAAATAGCAGAGCCAATCCGTAGAACCCGATGGTACCATCACTGTTCACTACATGAGCAATACTAGAAGGGAAGCAGGAGCAGATTTGGGGGAGCGTACCGACGTAATGCGAGAACCTCTCGAGCTCCTGGACGCGGCTGGAGGCGGGCACCAGCATCCGCGGCGCCAGCAGCTCCGCCGCGGAGCCCGTCGCCTCGTCCCTCATGCCGGCGCCGCCGCCACCCCGCTCCTTAGTCCTCCTATCCTCTCCCACCCAGCAGGCGGACAGGCGGGCAGGCGGGCGGCGTTCAGGGCTCAGGAGGCCGCGGCGGTCGAGCGCGACGCCAGGCGAGGTGACGCGGGGCGCAGGCCGCTCAGGATCATGCCCCGCCGGTGTCGGGCAAAATGGGTTCGGCCGCCGGCCGGGGCGCCAATTGTTCCGCGAGATAGGGCGGGCGACAGTGGCGCGGGCCAGTACCGCACCGCACGGAATCCAGTCCACGGCCACGGGCGCGGGGGCGGCGACGGCTGTGGACTGCACGGCGCGCGCGGGGGCTGTCGCGGAAAAGTAGGCGATGAGCGCTGCGCGAGCCGAGGCGGAAGTGGTGGGAGGATGAGGGGAGGACGGCACGAGAGCTCGCTCTCGCTGCCTCGAGTCCGCTCACGCGCGGTGGGTGGCGGACGGACCGGCGCTGGGCGCTGGCGGTAGCAGCAGCTAGCAAAGCGCCAAGGGTCAACGGCGTGCTGGGCAGTGCTGGCTGCTATCTGCTCGAGTCAGCACTCAGCAGCTCGACGGTTTCAATTCAAGCGAGTGGCGGTCCTGTCCCGCCGTACCATACCATCCACGCTTGTCTTTGGATCGGGGTGGCCACGATATCTACTGCTCGCCACCGCGCCGGAATGTTGGGCGTATCCGCGTATGAACGATGTTGATATGCCGAGCAGCCGCGGCGCCTTTTTTGTGTTGTGTTGGGGTGATAGTATCGGTGGTTTGAGTGCGTGCCGGCCCGATTTTGTGTTCGCGTACCAAAAACGAAGAAGTCGGGAAAAAACACGATTTGGTGGCTTTGGTTTCTATCCTAAAATAGCTTCGGTTTCATTGTCTTTGACTTGATTTTGGCTTCAGAAGCCGTTGTTACGTGTCCTCGTTTGAAAGGGCTTAATAAGTTGATAGAGCGGTGGAAAAACCATACTGTCACATGTTCGATTCTACGGCAGTAATCTAGTTCTTCAACGTAGGTCGATGCGTGGATCTTCAATGACTGAAGCACTCAAAGACACAATGGGTTTATCCTATTTCATGTGTCTAAGTCCTACATCTAGAAGTGGTGTTTTTCATGTTAATAATGCTCAATCAAGTTCTTACCATGGAGAGAGAGAGGAGAACACTATGCTACCGTGTAAGGTTTTGGTCGCTCAGGGGAAAGGGAGCCGACCAAAGGCTAAGCATTTGATCTCGGGTTCAATAGTTTGAATGGCCCACTGATCCGTCACTTGGTCTATTATGGTTCGATCCCTTCTACAGGAGCACATGCTCAACCTTATATACCAGAGGGCAATGGGAGTACAAGTTACATGGCTACGGGGTTTCCTAGGGCTTCGGGTCTTCATCCCTTAGCCTCTCGCGGTGTCGGGTGTTGTCTTCGTCCTGTAGCGGGGGATAACACCCCAGTTGACCATTAGGTGCTATCTGTCTTGGTTGTGTCTTTCCCGGGTCCGCTTTCTCGTGGCGTCCATCACACTAAGAGAGGCTGTTGAATTTCAGTTGGCTTAGGTGAGCAACTTCCTCCGCCAATGCACAAGGCTTGAAGCTGCCTTATCAACGAGCCATTGACAGCCACCAGCTTGGGTGTAATAACTTGCTAAAAAACAAAGAGAGTGTTTTTCTTTGTTCGCTTGAATTTATCAGTCTGACTTATCATCCATGGTACAACGTTTTTCTTTCACAATAAAACAACATCAGTTGGTTTATCAGCCGTAAAAACCATCAGCATCAAAAACCATCGAATCCTACCGCTTCTTATAAAAAACATAGTACCTGATAATAATTGCTCGGCAAATTATATGAGCAGCGATAGCATGGTTGAAATCATCAGCCTATTCGCTTGGTCATAAACGATCGTGAATTATAAGCTAGAACAATATTTTTCTCTCACACCCAACCAGCAAGCAGTAATAATCCACGATCATTTCAGCCGAAACGAGCAGGCTGCATCATCGCAAGTCAGCGTCTCCTCCGCAACTACAACTAAATCGAGCCAGAGCATTGCTCCCTCTATTAAAAAAACAAATTTATGTTTTTAAGAAAATACTTCTGAAGACAAACCATTGTATATGAATTTATAGTTTTTATACTAAATATTTAAAAGATATTGGTTATTACGGATTTAGAACTTTCGCTCGGATCTTCCAAAACGTCATTATTTTGCAACGCAGGAGTACATATTTTTTGGACAGGGTACTAACTTGTTTAGCAGGAGCACTGAGAGCAGCCGGTTACGTTGCACCATCACTACAAAACTCGTCGGATTAGCTAACCTCCATACGGTTCCTTTCTCCCACCGGCCACCGCCAAATTTAAGCTTTGAAATTTAAGAAGGTTAGGACAGAGTTTAAGCAGAAAAGCACTCAAATTAGACTAATCAAGGCGCAGGCTTTACAGGATGTATCTCTTTTCTTTCCCTTTTAAAACTTAAAACTTTTAATTACATGGCACATCAGCTCAGGCCCGAAACCATCTGTTACAACAAACATTATTCCGACTGTATGATTGTATACAGGCATCTCGCATTACCAGCGCCCGTTGGCATGGCGGCGCCACAAGGAGACTCCATTCACCCCACTTCCCAGATTGGGGTAGTCCCCCGCCTGGGGGTGGTATCCATTTGCGTTAACCCCAAGGCTCACCGATGGACTAGCAGAGCCATTCAGCCAAGGCTTTGAAGCACTCACGTCAGGCAGGCCATTAGAGTAACTATCCAACGAGGGAAACTGCCGCTCCCTCAACCCATTAACAGCATTTATGTCATAAGCCCCCGAGAATCCACCGTCGTACTTGGTTGAATTGAATCGAGCGGGGCTTCTAACAGAAGCCACTTCCATATCTGACAAGTTTCCTCTTGGCGAAAACGGCAGGCCAAACCCATTGTAATCTTGACGAAATGACTCTGGTATACTGCCGTTGATCTGGTCCTCCTCGAGCAAATCGTTTATGATGTCAAGGTGTGGAAATTCTTCTGCCACTGGCCCCTGTGGTTGGTGCCAGACATGACTGGCAGGTGTCTCGGTTTGGAACTGTCTAGCTTGCAGTCCTGCATGCATGCTGAACTTTTCTGTTCCTCTGCTGCATGCTTGCTGATAAGTATCGTCCCTCCGAGATTGGTCATATGCTTGACTGTTGGTCATTTGTTGATAAGGAGCGTGATCCCTCCAGAGATGCATATCAACATTACTGTCACCTTTCCACTGCTGCCAGCTGTCAAGTGCTTCTAACTTACCAGACCCAGACCTGAATCCATGCCTAGCTGACGACTGATCAGATCTTCCAGCAGGAGGCATCATGACAGCTGTACTTGATGCATATGCTGATAGAGGCTGTGAAGGAGCAGTATCTTGACCCAGAGAAGAAGACTGATATGCAAGGCTTGCAGAGGTTGTAGCCAGACCAGTCTTACCAACTATTGCATTTCGGTAGGTCTGTGGAATATAAGATGGGGCAGAAAAGGAAGGATCATTTACTGACCTTCTCCCAGCTGCTTCACTCATCGAGCGGGAAAGCAATGTGGAAGTTTGAATATGTGAAGCAGCTGGTGCAGTTGATCTTGGTGTTGGTAACACAGGAGCACTTGAAGGCCTCGATGCTGCAGCAACCTCCAAAACTGAGCTGACTGTGACCTTCCTAGAAGTAGTTGCCCCTTGAGCTTCAGAATTAGTAGCAGGAGATATATGTGTCTGTTCTGAAGAAGGCAGAGCAGCTTTATCAACTTGTGATAATCTTGTGGGGGCTGGAATAAACCTATCAATTTGCAGCGACCTTGAAGGAATAGGCGCATCTTTAGCACCTGATAGTGATTTTGGCGGGGCTGGAGAGGCTTTGTCAACTGGTGGAGATTTGGGAGGAATTGGAGTTGCTTTATCAATGGCTGGAGATTTTGGGAGAACTGGAGTTGCTTTGTCAATGGCTGGAGATTGAGGGCGAACTGGAATTGCTTTGTCAACAGCTGGAGATTGAGGACGAACTAGAGTTGCTTTGTCAACTGCTGGAGATTGAGAACGAACTGGAGTTGCTTTGTCAACTGCTGGAGATTTGGGACGAACTGGAGTTGCTTTGTCAACTGCTGGAGATTTGGGACGAACTGGAGTTGCTTTGTCAACTGCAGGAGATTTGGGACGGACCAGAGTTGCTTTGTTAACTGACGGAGATTTTGGAGGAACTGGAGTAGCTTTATCAGCCGAAGGTAGCTTCGAGGGAACTGGCGTTGCTTTATCAGCCGAAGGCAGTTTAGGAGGGACTGGAGCAGCTCTATTGATTCGTGGTGATTTGGAAGGAAGAGGGGCATCTTTATCCATATCTGCTGGATGTAATTTCGAGCAAGGAGATGCCATGGTGACTTTCATTTTCAAACTTGATGCATTATCTTTATTTGACACTGGGCCCACTTTTGTTGTGGTGGGAGAAGGCACAGATTCATTGTTTGCAGTGACTGGTATGCCTGAAACAGATTCCTCCAGGACAGGGTTGACCACAGAGGCATCCTTATTTGGTGTTCTGTTAACTTTAAGATCAACTGTATCTTCTGAGGAATGCATAGGGCCTTCTGGAACATCAGGTGGCTTATCCAAAGAATTAGATGAGTCGGAAGATTCTTCTGCCTTCGCTTTTGCGTCCCTAGCTTCAAAATGAGCTTTGAGAAGTTTCTGCCCCTCAATATTTTTCTGAAAAAAATGCAAAAACAAAACATAGTTACAGAAACGAATCAGTTGACATTTACTATGAATGAAGTAAACACTGAGATATCCTTATGTAAGCTGGAAAATAAGAACCCGTCAGCACATCCATTCGAGTGACTGGTACATGTGTTTCACAGGGAAAAGGGGGTTGCCTTGTCATACCAATCCATTGACATAACCAGTCACCAACACTCCAACAGTACAGCACAAAAACGTAAGGAAAAAATCTGTCAGGTTTTGCATCAAGATATTGTGATTGTCTCCAGTTCATGAATC